GCACACACACACACAAGCACACACACACAGGCACACACACAGGCGCGCACACACACACACACACACTGAAAAGTCTAACCCTAACCTGAAAAACGCTGCCATGTAAAAATAAAAGTAAAAGCGAGCTTTTAAACTGGAAGGAAGACATCAGTGAGCGCTGCTGTGTACGCATCGAGGTTAAGATGGAGGACAGCAAAAGCGCCCGAGGCGAGGTGCTGCCCTCCTCCCCCTCATGTCTCATTTCTCTTCTTCTTCTGTGGTTCAGGCAGACAGTAAAAACCTGCAGCGTTTCTTCTTCTCTGATTCAGACCTGAACAAACAAACGTCTGCAGCACAAAATCCTGATTTACTGCAGAAAGACGATGAAAAAGTAGCACGTCTGAGAGGGTCTGTGACACGGTCCAATCAGCCGGCTGCTTTAAACAGGCTGCATGAACGAGGCGAAGGGCACCCTGATCACCGCGGGGGTGTCGGAGTCAAACGTCGTCCAGCTTCTGCAGATCTCAACATGGAGCGTCCACGAGGACCTCATGGAGGCGACTGCAGCTGCAGCTGCTGTAACATCATCATCATCAGTCACTCTCTGAGGCCGCGCTGTTAGCGACTTAGCTACGAGCATTTTGGTTTCTGTTTCCACACAGACACCTGCTGTCCAATAACACCCAATCAAAATGAATCACCTTTCACTGAGTAAAACAGGAGCTCTGACCTCACAGCAGCCATATTATTGGTCACATGATATTATTAAAAATAATCCAATAGGCTCCAACAGACACAGTCCAGACGGCCAGTTCAGATCAGCAGCTACAGCCACCTGTGTCCACCTGTCAGCCACAGAGGCCACGCCCCTAATAATGCAAACTTTAAGCTTTAGTGCAATTTAAGTGAGTCATAAAATACTGATGTCATGAAATGATCTCCATAGAGACCAATCAGTTCATTTATCAGGCTGCAAACATGATTTGAACATGAAGTCTATGGGACTGACTCACTGATGCCTCTGCTGGGCGTCAGAGGAACTGCAGGTTCTGGAGCTTCAGCGTTAGGAGATCGGCAGCGTTAGGTGCTTTTCAGTAACTGTACTACATTCAGTAAAGACATTAGCTACAGTCATGTTGTTATGTTCATCACGAGGTTCTGCTGCTATCTGCACAACATCAGTTTGTGTGTGGTAAAGCTGAGAGCTGCTGACCCCGGCCCAGCAGCCAGAGCCTGCATGTAAACAGGTAACACATCAGCTACTGTAAAATCACCATGGCAACCACTCTGAAGTGGCATTAAGCTGTTTTTTATCTTTGCTTTGTGTCGCCGACTTTGCCCATCCATCCGTATACTGCCTATCTCAGGCTCCACCCTCCCCTCACTAGTGAACAGGGCTGGACTGGGACAAGCCCGGGCATTTCGACCAGAGACCGGTCAAATTTTTTTTACAACTGTAGCTGCCTCCACCAGTGTGTGGATGTGAGAGTGAATGAATAGTGGCATTGTAAAGCACTTTGAGGGGTCCCGAAAAGCGCTATATAAATGCAATTCATTATTATTATTATAACCTACCTACTGCATTACTTTGAAGAAAAGTGATGTGTAAAAGGTAACTTTTAGGGTGTAATGACTCAAACATTGAACATCCTCAAAAACTCCATCACAAACAGCTGATGGAGGCTCCAGGACTGAATAGAGTCAGGTGACAGTGCAGCTACCACGCCAGTTCCTCTCCATGTCTGTGCAGCTTCTACTTTCCTGCAGATGAAAGCTGACCTTCCTGACCTTTAACCTGCAACCCCCCCCCCGACACACACACAAGTAAATAGAAAGCGCGAGAGCAGGAGGTAACCTTGCACAAAGAACACACAATGAACCTTTTATAAGTTTGATATGTGATTCCAGCCCTGAGTGTGCGTGTGTGTGTGTCTGAGTGTGCGTGTGTGTGTGTCTGAGTGTGCGTGTGTGTGTCTGAGTGTGCGTGTGTGTCTGTGTGTGTCTGTGTCTGAGTGTGCGTGTGTGTCTGTGTGTGAGTGATGACATCATCAGCAAGGAGTCAGGGATTGATTGATTTATCAACACTTAACATGAACACACATGCTGCATGTCAAGGCTAATCTATGCTAATCTAATGAGCGACAGGACAATGCTGTTAGCGGTAATGGATGTTAGAGTGTCTGTGTGTGTGTGTGTGTGTGTGTGTGTGTGTGAGTGAGTGTGTGTGTATGTTTACTCATCTG